AGCTAAGGAAGCTGCTGAGCCCTGGGTTTAGGGCAAATGGGAAAACTGAAAACTGGGTCCACGTCCCCTGCTCCCTTCCCTGCTGCTGGGTGGGGCTCGCTCTGCTCAGTAACTACTACAAAATCCCACCTGATTTTAGACCCAAGACTTAGCTGAGGAGACAGGAAGTAAAAGAAATGACATTTCCACCAGTCCTAGAAATTCTGCCTATTAAGTCTTTTTTTTTAAATGCAAACGGTTATGGGTTAGGTTCCAGGACGAGAAGGGGAGTGTTAACAGCTTTAATGTAAATGCTGCTATACATAATGACTTTTCCTCCTTCCCTATTTCAACAAAGTATTTCACGGTTTGGAAAACACATCTCGGTTTGAAACAAAGATAGTACCCCTTAGCACCCTTCAATTTCCTGTTCTCTCCTCCTCCCTCCTCCCTCTACCCAGCAAGATATTATTTGGCCCCAGGAGCATTTTCCCTTTCTGTAGCTGAGATCCTCAAAGTGAAGTCATTCGCACTTGGCACAGCTCTGTGCTTTTTTATAGGACCTCCTTGGTGCTGGTCACTTCGGGGCTTTAAAAAAAATTTTTTTTTTTTTTATAAATGGAGGAACCAACAGCCCCAATGCACTTCACCCTCCCTGAACACCATTACGTTTGACATGTTGGCACTGATCTGCACGGGGTTCTTTTTCCTTCTCTCTTCTTCATAATTAGGGAAGGCTCAAAGAAAGTGCTAGAAGTGTAAGGTTAAAGACTGATGATCATAACGTTTATAGTGAAAGCAAGTGACAAGATGTAGCCTAGGACTCCACTTGAACTCCTGTTCTTGTACCCGGGAGATGGGTTTTCTGTCTCCTTGCCCCTCTCATTGCACTTTGCTCTGTCAGTTCATACTCTGCAGGGAGGAGAAGGAGTCGTGCTCATTTCTAGGACAGGGACACGGTAGGGCCAGCACGGAGTAGAAAAGGAGGCCGCCCTATGCCCCTTCACTGTGGCCTTCCTTTGCGCAAAGGTCCGATCCTTTCTGTCATCTGAGACAGTCTTTGATTTAATGGGCAAAACTCCAGGAATAATTAAGACAATAATAGTACACACCCAACAAGAAAAACATGCCGTGTTTAAAGAAGAAACCCCTGCAGCACTGAAGGCGGTGATTCTGCGTCTTGGAGGATGGAAAAGAGACCTTGAAATCAAAGCAACAACCATCAAGGATTTGCTAAGTTCCTCTTTGGCAGAAAGGAAAAATGTACTAATTCATTCTACTTTTTCCTGGTGAGATCATGGGGGTGGGAGAAGCTAAGATTTGAAAAATTTCCCCCAAGTTCTAAGTTTTGCAAAGAACTATTTTTTATCATAACTAATTTCATAAAGTGCCATAAAAATTACCAAAGGGCACTATCTTTTTTGTTTAATCGGACAGTTGGGTGAGCATTTTTCTATTATTGCTGCTCACTACTAGCCTTTGCTTGAACCCTGAAAAAAAAAAAAGCCTTCACAAATAACACAGTAGAAGCTTCATAACACGATTCCAGTTGTTTTCTTTCTGTTAAAACTGTAACTCTATCCTGATTTTATCTCTCTGAAGACTTCTGGATATTTACAACATAAGGAAAGTCTTGTTTCCCTAACTCAAGGCCTCCATGAAAAACATAATCATAGAAGACGTTTCTATTTAAAATAAAAACGCTAAGATCTAGAAATGTTCTTTCCAACTTAAAAAAGACTCTTCCACTCAAATCCCTTCTCTAGTACCTATTTCCAAACACTCATTGGCAATTGCTTTTCAGAAAACACTTTCCAGAAATTATTTCAAATACCTTGTTGTGCATAACTTTCTTGCTGAATATCTCCAGTCTAGAGCTAATTTATTTTTCTCAGCTGCACTTTCAGACCGTTCAAAGCTATTGCTAAATTCTCCTCCCTCCGCTGACTGTAATTATTTCTTAGCAAGGTAATTTCTGAATGCTGCATGCAAGAATCGAGGAAGAAAAAAAAAATGTGCTATTTTCCTAAAAACACTCGCTTGGAAATAGTATTTGCGAGATGACAAAAATCAGGGGCCGGTGTCCCTTTCGTTTTGGGGTCCGGGTTGCCCAGTGAGAAGTTGCCTCACTAGCGGCGGAGGGCCTCCCCGACGCCCCGACGGTGAGCCGGCGCAGGGTTCTAATCCCAGGACGAGTTTCTAAGCGCTCCGCAGGGCGCTTTCTGTCCTGCGAGTTTTGTCAAGTTGCGAAGGGCCTACTAAAATGAGAAGCCATTTGCAGAATTAGGGTTTGCTTCAGAGGTCCTAAGGAAACCAGAGAAAATCCTTGAGACATCATATTTGAAAAGTATTTGAAGATTGTTCACTTAAGTAAATACTTAAGCCTGCCCTCCCTTTCTGCGGCCTGGAGCCATGTTACTCACCCTCAAAGAATTCATCAATATTCAACTGGCTCTCTAATTTGCTGATGTAGCAAAGAGAGTTTAATAAAGAAAGCTGTTGCAATTTTTCTTTAGAGGACGTGCCTCAGACTCGACTTTTGTCTTAACGGTGCTGGAATCTTCTGCCCTTCGACTAATCTAGGTGGGGAAAGAAAGGCTTACATGCAGTTGGATCAACCCAGGCAAATTTACCCACGAAGCCGAGCCTTAAAAGCCCAGAAAAGTCTTCCACCCCAAGGACACTGGAGCTTTATAAATGATCTATCTGAGGATTTAGAAGCTTGTTCAGTCACGTCTGACAGCCCGGCAAACTTTCAGCCTGTCCACGAAAAGTTCTGAAGACTTTAATGGGGAAACTGTAGTTCAGTCAGGCGTATTTTAGCGCCCACCGAAGTCGTGCAAGTCCCTGCAGTTTTTAAAACCTTTCCGGAAAATCCCATCTTCGTCGTAGACTCTTTCTGGTTAATTTTTAAAAAACGCTCCGCAGACCCTGTTAGACTCTACTCTCCCTCCCCCCCACCTCTAAATTTAAAAAAAGAAGAAGCCGCAGACGCCAGCGAAAGGCCGCGCAGCACTTGCAACGCCTTGGGGCTGCGAAATCGCCCCGGCAAAGGAATTAAGATTTTTACATCAGAGCTCCAGAAACCTCACAGTAAAACGCCTGCGAGAGAGTTAAGTAGCTCAAGAAGCTCGAGCGCCGGGCGCGGCGGAACCCCGTGCTTCTATTTTTGTGCGCCGATTTCGTCCGTGCGCGCGTGTGCGTGCGTGCGCGTGTCTGCCACTACCGCCTTTTCTTTCGGCACCTGATCCCCCCCCCGCGGCCGCGCGCTCTCCTCCCCCACCCGGCGCGCGGGCGGGACGCAGGGCGCAGGGCGC